CCACCCTACACCCCCCCCTCAACACCCCCCCCCCCCTCTACACCCCTTTCCACCACCCCACCCAACCCAACCCCCCCCTCTTTCTTTTTTGTATCTTTTCTCTCATTTCCTCCCTCCCTCTCTCCTCTGGGCGTTGTTTTTACGCTTAATCTCCTGCATTGTTTGTGCCTGTGCTCAAGTTGCGCTTGCAATTTGCCTCGTGATCAAATCGTGCGTATCGGAATTTTTTCCATTGTTCCGGTGTCGTTGTTGGGATAATTAATCTCGGGCCCCCCGGTGGGCCGCCAAAAGTTTTCTGTAGGGATCGTGAGACCAAGATCGAACCGAACAACCTTGCTCCCTTCTCTCTGGTGCTGAGCTTCACCTGTTGATCTTCTCTTGCTCTCTCCTCTCGGATCTTCGTAAGCAAAGTGGGCTGGGTACCTGCAAAGGCACTCCGACGCTCAAGTCAACAGGGGTGTTGTTCGAAATATGAGAAATCTATATCAATTTTCTCTTAGGGGAAAAACGTACCTTTTTTCTGGTGTGCTTCGTATATTTAAATTAACATAATAAACCGTTTACCTGAAAATCCGGTCGTTTACTGAAGTGGAAGTTGTAACGCGTCCGAATTTGGCTGTCCACTCTGAGTCCAATTATTTCCCGATCTATTGGTCGTGATTCGCGGCGTTATTCAGTCAGGTGTGTAACTGCTTAACTGCTAGAATCACGGTGTCACATTCTGTATTTCGATCATCATTCGTGTCGACCCTAATGGATGACGTTCGACGTATGTCTCATGTCGCGACAATCGCTTATCGGGTTGTCTGTCGAGCCCTGTATGTCATCATCATTCGTGTCGACACTAGTGGATGAACGTTGTCGGACGTAAGGTCCTCATGCATGTCGGCGACAATCGCTTATTGGCTTTGTCTTTCGAGCCTCAAATGGGTCGAGGCCGTCACGTGGTCGTAATCTATTACGGGTGGTATAAGTGATCGACCAAGCTGTGTGGTCGAACGTCATTACAGTAACCTTCAGTGGTTGTTACTGGTTGACCGTTGGGTATCCTATGGTACAGTTATTATCTTTTCTTATTTTTTTATTGTTTTTAAAAACAATAAAAAATTTACACTTTTGTAACTAATTTACTTTTTATAAATATAAAAGTGTGTCATTCGTTACTTTCTTATGCATGGTAATAGTAAAGAATGTTGGATTTTTATGGAAAAGTTGGCTGTTTGCAATGAATGGATGGAAATCAAGTGAATCAAATTCACTTTCTACGAGTTACTCAAAGATGTTTGGTTTCCAACTAGATATTTTCTCCATGCCTGCCATATGCGTTTGTCGACTACTTAAAATAGAAAAGAAAGAAAGTATAATATAATTACTAAGTCTAATTAAAATTAGTTAAATATCAACTCTAATTTTTTTTTGTTAAAAAATTATATTTATAACATATTTAAATTTTTACTATTTTTTCATTTAAGGATTTTTGTGCGTGTGTTTTAATCACCAAGCGATGTATATGACATATTTATGTTGTATTATTGTTACTTATAACAAATAAAAAATATTTTTTTTCTTTATTATATCTTCTTTAATTGTAAGTATTTTTCCTTGAAGTACAAAATTTATATAAAAGTTAAACGAACATTAGGTAAATGTAGACAGTTAAACGCTAAGAACAATTTTGAAATTTTATGAATTTTTATCAAAGTTCAATAAAATATAAAAATTAGGTATCCTATTACTGATAAAAAAGATTTATTAATTTAATTATACCTATTACATAATAAAATTTACTTAATTATAAATCAATTGAAAAATATACTTAATTAATAATAAATGACTACCTTACCTCCACTAATAACAAAATCAAACAATGTAATCAAGAAAAGAATTATGAGTTTAAAATAAAATAAAGAGAGAAAAATAATGATTCTAAAATAAAATAGATTAATGTTAAAGTTTGAAATATACTTTTGATACAAATAATTTGACAGAGACGTCTCCACAAAATTATGAAAACAGTAAAAGAGTGGAGACAGAACAAGAATGTGGGATGTGGGGGCATTATTTCAATTATATATACAAGTGCTGTGGGATGCATCTCCTCCACATCAGTGTTCATTCTCTTTCCCTTTTCTTCCTTCTCCTTTAGGATAATGGACACATCTCTGGTGTTTAAGGTGCAGAGGCGGGAGCCAGAGCTGATAGCTCCGGCGAAGGCCACTCCTCGCGAAGTGAAGCTGCTCTCAGACATAGATGACCAAGACGGGTTAAGGTTTCAGATTCCAGTGATACAGTTCTATCGATATGATCCAGCGCTGGCAGGGAGAGACCCTGTTGGGGTTATCAGAGAGGCTTTGGCCAAAACGCTTGTGTTTTACTATCCCTTTGCAGGTAGGCTGAGGGAAGGAGCCGGTCGGAAACTCATGGTGGACTGCACAGGGGAGGGTGTTTTATTCATTGAAGCTGATGCAGATGTCACACTCGCTCAATTTGGTCACGCTCTTCAACCTCCTTTCCCCTGCTGGGAGAATCTTCTTTACGATGTTCCTTCCTCCCAAGGAGTTCTTCACACTCCCCTTCTCCTCATCCAGGTATATTCATTCATTCATTCATTCATTCACACTTCAACCATCTTTCTTCGTAAAGGAAAACGTCACTTTAGAGTATATCAGTGGTATTACTGCCAATAGCCTAATGGAAAAGCAGAGCACACTAATAATAGTTGAGCAACAAGAGGTTAAAAAATTGAAAAAATATGATGATAAGATTTTGCATGGTGAAAACACGTGAGTTGACAAAGCAGACGGGTGCGTGCAGGTAACGCGCCTGAAGTGCGGCGGTTTCATATTCGCGCTCCGTCTGAACCACACCATGAGTGACGCAGCGGGGCTGGTCCAGTTCATGAACGCCGTGGGAGAGATAGCGCGCGGGAGGCAGGAGCCATCGGTCCCACCTGTGTGGCGCAGAGAACTTCTGAACGCGCGGGACCCACCGCGAGTGACGTGCATCCACCGTGAGTACGACGTCGTCCCCGACACGAAAGGCACGATCATCCCCGTGGACGACATGGCCCACCGCTCCTTCTTCTTCGGCCGCAGCGAACTTTCGGCCATCCGGCGCCTCCTCCCCCCTCACCAGAACCAGTGCTCCAGCTTCGATGTCCTGACCGCGTGCCTATGGAGGTGCCGCACCCTGGCCCTGCAACCTGACAGCGACGAGGAGGTCCGCATTATATGCATCGTGAACGCGCGCTCCAAATTCAACCCTCCTCTGCCAGAAGGTTACTACGGCAACGTTTTTGCTTTCTCCGTGGCGGTTACGACTGCGGGAAAGTTATGCGAGAATCCGTTGGGGTATGCTTTGGAGTTGGTGAGGAAGGCGAAGGCGGATGTGAGCGAGGAGTACATGCAGTCGTTGGCAGATCTGATGGTTACAAGAGGACGGCCTCACTTCACGGTGGTGAGGTCGTATCTGGTGTCGGATGTGAGACGAGCAGGGTTCGAAGACGTTGACTTTGGGTGGGGTAAAGCTGTGTATGGAGGACCCGCGAAGGGCGGTGTTGGAGCCATTCCTGGTGTGGCTAGCTTTTACATACCCTTCAGAAATGATAAGGGAGAAGAAGGTTTGGTTATGCCAGTTTGCTTACCCTCTGAAGCCATGCAGAGGTTTGAGAAGGAGTTGGACTCTGTGCTCAACAATCGCCTTCCACCAACTATTAATACTATTTCTTCTTCAAATTCCAGGCAGCTCCTTCTTTCTTCCTTGTAGTCTAAATTACCAATCCAGGAACGAATTCCACCTTCTTCTCACTCTCTCACAAACCCATCACTACACTACTTTCTACCGCCACTAAATTAAGTACTATTTCTCTCTTTAAATGTCATTACTTTTTAATCCTTTATCTTTTGTACCCTTGTCTCTATTGAAAGTCAAGTTTGAGTTGAGAAAACGTTGCTGATAACATAATACATAGATCAGTATATACTATTTCACAAATTCCCACAAGTATCTAAATTATGTAATAAAGACATTGAAATATAGTTAGACGTCCAAAATTATAGTTATTTTTTACTGTATGAACGCCGTCGTGACGAGAAGCAACAAAATGTATGAATATTAACAAGATTAAATGTTAAAAATAATTAGGTTAATTCTAACCCAAGTTATATAGATCTTAATTGAATTAACAAAAGTTCATCACAAAAATCTATTAATACATGTTTAATATTAAAATAGTTGGTTACTTTTACTACTATTTATTAACTTGAGCATTAGAGTGCTTTCTTCCGATTACACTCTAGCGTATTCAAAGTTGTGAAGACAATTAAAGAATTATATTGGGACTTAAAAGTAAAGAGACATCTAACATTAAAAGACTTAATCTAGACCCCACAAACCCAACCATGTTTATTACTTTAATTTTAAATAATTTTATAATTAGTAATTAAATAAATAAGACTTATTCTAAAGAACTTGTGATTAAATTTTAAATAAAAGTTGTCTAAAATTTTAGTCTAATTTGTGACACATGACCTCACATCAATTTAAATTTAAAGTTTAGAAAATAAAAAATATTTTTCAAATGTAACTCCTAAGTATAAGAAATATAAAATTTATGCCAAAATTAAGTGACATTTTATAAAGATATAATAAAGCTTAGGACCAATGTATCATTGTATAAGATTTCAAAACACACAAAGTTATATATTAGAGTGGATTTTTTTAACTACGTAGATTTACAAAGAAAATTTTCATAAAAAAGACTTCATATCCGCTCTATTATTAAGAATTAGAAATAAGTATAATGAATAGTTTTGTTTTTTTTTTACAAACGGTTTTGGACTTTTCCTGAAATTAAGACAAGTGAATTTGTAGGCATTTTCATGAGGCCTCCATACTAAAAAAGAATATATTTTTACCAAGTATATTGTCTTGTGTTGCAATTATGTGGTGTAACTTAACATATTCTTCCTTTGACTTATTATAGACTATGAGCGAAGAGAATGCTTGGATGTATGAGCATTGTTGTATATATCTCTATTTGATATTGTGATACAATATTGTAGAAAATTGTGAAATATATGTATGTTTAGGTATTGTCAAGTATTGATTTTCGACAAAAATAAAAATAAAAATCTATCAATAATATTACATGTTAAAGTTCTCATTGATAGAAAAACTTGATATTATAATATAAATAATAGATGGAAAATAAATTAAACTTACTAGTCTTTTGTTTAAATAGTTTGAGAAGATTTCATATGTAAAGTAACCATATAATAATAGTTGATTGATATAATTAATGTCAATTATACCTACATTAAATGTTAGTTCCTACCACATGTTTAATTATTTTACTATATATTGTTCAATAAATATGTACTCGTTGGTTGATAATCAAAGTAAATTAAATTTGTTTTCTTTCCTTCATTAATGTATTGATGTATGTTTCTACTCTTTTTATACCCATGAGATGAATAAGTTGAGGCTCTTAGTTTCCCCTCATCTAAACACATACCATAATAAATTATCAATAATGTATATATAATAAATAACAAATATAATCGATACAATTTCCAACAGACATATGTACTATGTTTAGTTTTATTTACAAAATTATTTCTTTTACTGCACTTTTTTTACTACATTAATTTTTGAACCGTGGTTAATTTAGGTCGTTAAAGAATAATTTTACATTAATAATTAAAGGTAAATTACATGATAAAATTATAAAAAAATCAATTTATTACTAAGGTAAATTAAATAATAGAAACATACACGAATAAATAGGAAAATAAAAAAAATTAATACAAATAATATGAATTTATTAAAATCAATATAATAAAATGCATAGTTTCACCCCATACATATACACACATATTTTACAATCCATAAATAATTAAAAAAAATCTTGTGAAATTCATAATTGTTAAAAGAATTTAAGAAACAAAAAACTTATTTCTTGAAAAACTTAAGTAACTTTAAGACCTATACAAACGTTCATTTCCGACGATACCTTTTATTAATTGTCTAAAATAAGAGATCACAAGTAAGAACACCAACTATTAACTAATGCCAGCAATGAATATTGAATGATTGAAAAAACGAAAAATGGGTTCAAATACAAACAAGGGTTAAATATATTTTTAGTCCCTTGATTATCACGCGATTTGTCCCTATTCGAAAGTTTTGTTAATTTTAGTCATCGTAGTTTTCAAACTGTTATAAAAAATCCATAATTTTGGATGACGTTAACTTTTGTTTGACGTGGCTAACGGCCAGCTCACGTATGATGCCACATTCCCTGACTATTTTTAATTGATGTGACAGTAAAGGTGTGGAGGTCGATCAGCCTGGTGGGTGGTCGGCCACTTGGTCTGGTGGTCGGTCGGTCTGGTGGGTTCTATTACAATCAACAGAACAATGCAATAGAAGTGGATTATATGAACGACCGAACAATGTTGGACAAAGACCGAACGGTTATGATGACGGATGGAGTGCAATATATGAAAGACCGAACAGTGTTGGGAAAAGACCAAACAGTTATGGACAAAGACCACCAGGCCGACCGACCACCAGACCGAGTGGTCGACCATCCACCAGACCGATCGACCACCATACCTTTACTGTCATATCAATTAAAAGTAGTTAGGTGGCATGACACGTAGACTGACCATTAGCCACGTCAAACAAAAATTAACGCCATCCAAAATTAGGGACTGTTATACCCAAAATCACGTGATATTTAAAGAAATAAAATCATATTTAATCCTTAAAAAACGAGTTGTCAGATAAAAAAAACGAGTGAAGGAAGAAATTGTGCATAAGGCACAACAATACTGAGTTTAGAAATAAAGAAAATAGAAATAGTGACCGTTTGTGAATATTAGATACAGCTTAATAATTTATTATTATGGAAATAAAAAAGCTTTGGGTTGGGAAGGGAACACGTGAGCAGGAAGTAGAAGGGTTAAAGGGTGCCACGTGAGGCCACAAAATCGTAGGAGCCAATGAAAGAAGGAGCTGGGATCTTGAGTTTGCCCTTCTCTTACTTTTCCTTTTCACTCGTGTCACATAACTAAACAAAGAGAAAAGAAAAAAGAAAAAAAAACAAAGCCACTTTCCTTCCACGCCTCAAATGCAGTTCGCGGTTCAAATTCTCCACCATGGCATCTTCTTATTCTCGCTGCTTCTCCAAGAAAAATCTATGCTTTACAGTACTAATTCCTGAATGAGTTAAGTTAGTAATACCATGGTTCTTGAATTGCAGTAATGGAAATTGCGCTCACTTGCTTCTTCTGTGGCAGAGTCCCACCCACGCTCAAATTGGGGCCTGCTGCAACTGCAACTCCAACTCACCACTTCCCTTGTAACAATGCCTCCACCCACCTGCTTTCTTCCTTCCCCCCTTCGTTTCGACTCTATCGCCTAATTCCGAACGCTACTAACAGCACCCAACCCAAGGTTTCCACCAACTCTAAAACCAGAAGAAGGAGAAGAAGAAGTTGCGAGACTCAGGTGGTGGTGGAGGAGGCTGCTGCTGTCCATCACAACGGAGACCCAATTGGGAAGAAGGATCTCGGGAAGAGTGTTATGAGATGGATTCGCGACAGCATGAGGGCCATGTCGTCTGATTTAGCTGCGGCGGAGATGCTGGGAGAGATGGAGTTGTGGGAGCGCATGGGACCGGGTCTCCCTTTTATTATGCAGGCACAGCCCTATCTCAATGCGGTTCCTATGCCCATTGGCCTTGAAGGTGTTTGCTTGAAGGCCTGCACGCACTACCCCACTCTGTTCGACCATTTTCAGAGGGAGCTTCGCGCTGTTCTCCAAGACCTGCAGAACGACAACTCCATTCAGGACTGGCGGGACACCAAGTCTTGGAAACTGCTTAAGCAGCTCGCCAATTCAGGTTTCTCTTTATTTCTCCTGACCTAAACACTTACTAATCTAAATTAATTTACTATATTATGCATTCGGTGCTCCCACTGCCTGAGCCAACTGTGTTGAGAAAATCAATTCAAATTTCTAATGTGAATTCAAGATGTAATAAGTTGACAAGTGAAAAGTTGCAACTGTTGCTACAATTTATGAAGGGGTGACTCTTGGAATTTTGAGAAACAATTACTTGTTGCTTATTCAGAGTCTCTTTAAGTCATTCACTACTCTGTAAACAGAGGTTATTGGGATGAGAATAACCTTCAACCTGAAGAATGGGTTACTCTGACTGAGAGCGGTCGTGTAGTGGAGAGAATTCTTTCGTCGAGAAAACTTGTAATCTTACGACATAAAAAATATGAGATACGGTCCCCATGGACAAAGTTTCAGGATCGAGCCTCGTTGATAAAAAAAAAAAGTGGTTAGGAGGGGAAGTCCTACTAAAGATGGTCAGTCAAGTTTCCCAACAGAGATGAGTCATCGGTAAAGTTGGTGAATATTCTATACCAATTACTTGATTACAAAATGTGTTAAGATGAAGCTTTGTATTTTCTATTTGTGGTGTCTTTGTGTGTATCTCATATCTTTGATCCGTGTTCAATGGGAGGGGATTTTTCTATCAGTTTCTTTTAACTCAAGAAATGGTCTTAGTGTCTAATGGTTCATTTACAGCTCAGCATAGAGCAGTTGTGAGAAAGATAGAACAACCCAAGAGTGTCCAAGGCGTTTTAGGAATGGACTTGGAAAAGGTCAAAGCAATACAGCACAGGATTGATGAATTCACCAATCGCATGTCAGAACTACTCAGTGTCGAAAGGGATGCTGAATTGGAGTTTACTCAGGAGGAATTGGATGCCGTTCCTAAACCAGATGATGTTTCTGATTCTTCAAAACCTCTTGATTTCTTGGTTAGTCATAGCCAGCCTCAACAAGAACACTGCGATACCATTTGTAATTTAACTGCCATCAGTACCTCTACAGGTCTTCTCCTTTTGCTCTTTTCTTTTCACTTATTCAGACAAATCATGATCTTGCATTGACCTTCCTTCTAAAATTTAGTCTTTCCTTTATGTGTTTGTGTGCTATATAACAAGTTGAACTGTTCACACGCTAATGAGTTATATGATCTAATGTAGTAAACTACAGGAAATTCATTAATATTTTAGATATGGACTATATAAAACATCTTGGTGAAACATACTCGCAGTCTGTTTTCCAATCAATTCAGTTATTGAGATATATCTCCATTTTCTTTTGTTCATTTTGAGGAAGCCTCATAAATGTACTGCATCTACTCAAGAGTCAGATATTTGTTGATTTTATTGATGTTTATGCTTATTGTACCCAATTGTTTTTAATGGAAAATCAGTCTAAGCCGTTTCTCTCTTTCAAATGTTTTTGTCATGAAATAAAGACTCAATTCGGTTTTCCAATTTGTTCTTTGTAAAGTGATCATGCTTGCCAACATTTGTCTTAGTTCTTTAAAACATTTAGAGATTATCCTGAAATTCTTCTCCAATCATTATGTGATCATGCCTGTAAGCAAACCAGGGTGGCCAAATGCAGAATGTTGATATGTTTACTAAATCACTTGAGCATGCTTTATTTACTGCATCTAATATTGGGTGAAAGTATATATTACTGAGGTTAGAAAGTAGATACACGTGGAAGGTAGAATGATAAACACCCAAACACTTAGGAAACCCAACCTCAAAAGCTAGCTATTAAGGAGATAGAATCAAACACTTAAATACTCTGCCAAACATCCCATACTTGATTTGGGACTTAGGTACTCCATACTCAAATCCCAATCCCAATCATAGATTTAGACCTAGATGAACCTTTACTCATCTTGGTTTAGAATGTAAATCATAAGTATGTGTGGTCTTTTCAATCACTTGGATGTCTATACTCTAAGTTAAAAACCCAAAGAAAATCAATAAGCTATATTTAAATGTCTAAATGATGCATAAGCATTTCGTCTTAACTGATGGGGTGCATGCATAGGATGCTAGTTATATCAATTTAGTCTTTGTAACTTGTACTTAAATCCAGTCTGCCTGCTATGGTCATAATTCATTTTGTAAACAGGACTGGGGGGAATGCATCTGGTTTTATTCAAGGTTGAAGGGAACCACCGGTTACCACCTACTGCTCTTTCACCCGGAGACATGGTTTGTGTAAGAACATACGACAGCAGGGGTGCAATTACAACTTCTTGCATACAAGGATTTGTGAACAGTTTTGGAGATGATGGCTATAGTATTACAGTTGCTTTAGAGTCACGCCATGGTGACCCTACGTTCTCTAAACTATTTGGGAAGAATGTGCGCATTGACCGTATTCAAGGACTGGCTGATACACTTACCTACGAGGTATTGCAATCTATTTTTTGATTTCTTGGATGAGTGTTGTTAACAACACACTCTCTCTTTCTAACACATTCTCTAATGTTAGTTAAAATTTACTGAAAAGTACAAAATCATGGGATGAGAGGGACTCATTATTTATTTTCCAATAATAGTTTGTCTTCAAAAGAGCATGTTGCTAGCATTTTTTATTGTGTTTACCCAAAAATTTTGTGGCTCTGAGAAACATTTGTGAAAAAATTGCGAAAGGGTGCAATGATTTCTATGAAATCTGAAGCTAAGAAATTTTGAGTAGAGATCCAAATCAAGGTGTAATGAATGTCTACTATTTGTGTTTAGTCAAGTACAATAAAATAAAATCATCGATATCTAAAGACAAAAAAAATATGGTCAACTATTAATTAGTTAATTCAACTATTTTATTAGGAAGGTGAACAAATCCAATAATTAGGAACATATTTACTATATAAACTGTCAATATGCATCTTCCTTTTCGTAATCCTAGTCCACAACTTCTTTACTACTAGAAAGTTGATGTTAAATCTTGACAGTTGACAATATAGAAAGATTATCTATCACCCCTGACCACTTTTATCATAATGACTTTGCTCTCTTATATGCTTGGTAGAGCTGTTAAAATGAGCTATTCAGCGACTCGGCCCACCACGGGTTGGCTACTTAGTGAATCAACCCAACCTGACTCACTTATTAGTGAGCTCAAGAAATTTGAACCCAGTCTGACCCACGGTTGGTGGGTTAAACAAGTTACTCACTTAACATTGTTTTTAATATGTAACTAAAATCAAAAAGTCCAAATCTTTTCTAAAATTTTGTTTATTCTCATTTTTTATGATAAATAAATCATTCATCCCAAAATTTGTCATGGGCGTGGGCCTCTCTCCCCCAGAATTAAAAAAAGAAAAATTGCTTTTTTGGGCTGGATTTTTAAGTTAGAGCAAAGTGGATTTTCTTTTATGTTTGAGTTGATGAGTTAACCTCTTTCACAACGAGTNTATATATATATGCCCTCGTACTTTAAGATTAGTAGTGCTCGGTCTTATACCTAGCGCTCGTACTGAGTAGTGCTCGGTCTTACACCTAGCGCTCGTACTAAGTAGTGCTCGGTCTTATACCTAGCACTCGTACTAAGTAGTGCTCGGTCTTATAACTAGCGTTCGTACTGATTAATGCTCGGTTTTATACCAAGCGGTCGTACTATTGTATAATCAATCTTGATAAAATAGCGTTCGTCCAACTTCAGTAATATTTTCCCTTACCATGTTCGGTCACTTACTGGCATTGAATTTTTGTATATGAACTAGTATAAATATCGTTCATCAACCTTTTTACTAGACTTCTTTCATTGGAACCGTTCTAAGGTCTCCATATTTGATTTATTCTTTAAGTATTGATTTGAACTCAAGAGAGTCAGTTCATTTAACTGATTCAAGTGGTAAATACCGTTCGTCACCAATTTCACTATTTTACTCGATTCATTTCCTAAATCTAAAAGCAACTCTCTTATTCTTATTCTGTTCTGAAAGGGAGAATTATCGACCTAGTTCTTGTTGTTCGTCCTCGTTCTGAAGAGGGCTGAATGTTCGTTATTTTATGTCCTTATAACTGATGATAAAAACAAAAATAAAGTGAAAGATTATAAAGAATGAACAGTATATGAGATGAATAAACAGTGTTGGTTTTTGAACGAGCGTTCCGGGGAGGAACGACTCATGTATGGAATATTGGAATTGGTAAAGTATGACTGTGGGCATGCTAATGCTGGCAGTTCATCCTGATGTTCCGTGAGTACTCATCCTCACGTAAAGGAGGGTAGATCATGTGTGGGAACGGCAGGAGGTCCTAGTCCTTAGGGGTACTTTGCATAGGGCTAACCTCGGGTGGCAGCTGTTGAATGTATCCCAGTTACTACATCACCCGGGTGCATGAACGCCTGTAGCTACACAGATTCATACAGTCCGGACGGTCCGTCTAGTGGTAGCTTTCATATAGTTATATGTGTTGAACTGCTCTTGTATTGTTGGAATGTTTAATTTATATGTTGATGTATGAATTAAATTACATAAGCTTACCTTGTGTTTTTCCTTATATGTTCTCGTTCTTGTACGTTCGTCTTGTCTATTACAATGATCATCCATGTGGATGTGAGCAGAAGGAGAAGCATTGTTGGAAGATGTAATCGAAGAGGAGAATCTGGTGGACGTGGAAGTCAAGGCCGAACCTTAGAGCGTTCGGTTATTTTGTTTTAGCTGATAGTTAGTTAGTTTTGATCGTTCGGTAATTTGGTTTTGTAAAACCGTTCGACTATGACTTTTCTTATTCTGTTAAATTGTAATTAACTTTGTACTTAACGTCGTTCGGCTTTTTGAACGTTAATATTAGTGTAAGACTGCACTGTTTATTATTAAATGTAATTAATTCTATTATATGGTGATTACTGTATTTTTGGGATGTTACAATTTCCGACTATACTGTTTATTAATTGTCTAAAATAAGAGATCACAAGTAAGAACACCAACTATTAACTAATGCCAGCAATGAATATTGAATGATTGAAAAAACGAAAAATGGGCTCAAATACAAAAAAGGGTTAAATATGTTTTCAATCCCTTAATTATCACGCGATTTGTCTCTATTCTCATTTTAGTCATCGTGATTTTGAAACTATTATAAATAATCCATAATTTTGGATGACGTTAACTTTTGTTTGACGTGGCTAATGGCCAACCCACGTATGATGCCACATTCCCTGACTATTTTTAATTGATGTGACAGTAAAGGTGTGGAGGTTGGTCATCCTGGTGGGTGGTCGGCCACTCGGTTTGGTGGTCGGTCGGTCTGGTGGGTTCTATTACAATCAACAGAACAATGCAATAGAAGCGGATTATATGAAAGACCGAACAGTGTTGGGCAAAGACCGAACGATGTTGGGCAAAGACCAAACGATTATGATGACGGGTGGAGTGCAATATATGAAAGACCGAACGGTGTTGGGAAAAGACCAAACAGTTATGGACAAAGATCACCAGGCCGACCGACCACCAGACCGAGTGGTCGACCATCCACTAGGCCGATCGACCACCACACTTTTACTATCATATCAAGTAGTTAGGTGACATGACATGTAGACTGACCATTAGTCACATCAAACAAAAGTTAATGCCATCCAAAATTAAAAATTATTATACCTAAAATCGCGTGATATTTAAAGGAATAAAATAATATTTATTCCTTTAAGAAAAGAGATGTCAGGTAAAAAAACGAGTGAAGGAAGAAATTGTGCATAAGGCACAACAATACTGAGTTTAGAAATAAAGAAAATAGAAATAGTGACCGTTTGTGAATATTAGATACAGCTTAATAATTTATTATTATGGAAATAAAAAAGCTTTGGGTTGGGAAGGGAACACGTGAGCAGGAAGTAGAAGGGTTAAAGGGTGCCACGTGAGGCCACAAAATCGTAGGAGCCAATGAAAGAAGGAGCTGGGATCTTGAGTTTGCCCTTCTCTTACTTTTCCTTTTCACTCGTGTCACATAACTAAACAAAGAGAAAAGAAAAAAGAAAAATAAAACAAAGCCACTTTCCTTCCACGCCTCAAATGCAGTTCGCGGTTCAAATTCTCCACCATGGCATCTTCTTATTCTCGCTGCTTCTCCAAGAAAAATCTATGCTTTACAGTACTAATTCCTGAATGAGTAAAGTTAGTAATACCATGGTTCTTGAATTGCAGTAATGGAAATTGCGCTCACTTGCTTCTTCTGTGGCAGAGTCCCACCCACGCTCAAATTGGGGCCTGCTGCAACTGCAACTCCAACTCACCACTTCCCTTGTAACAATGCCTCCACCCACCTGCTTTCTTCCTTCCCCCCTTCGTTTCGACTCTATCGCCTAATTCCGAACGCTACTAACAGCACCCAANAAGAAAAGAGATGTCAGGTAAAAAAACGAGTGAAGGAAGAAATTGTGCATAAGGCACAACAATACTGAGTTTAGAAATAAAGAAAATAGAAATAGTGACCGTTTGTGAATATTAGATACAGCTTAATAATTTATTATTATGGAAATAAAAAAGCTTTGGGTTGGGAAGGGAACACGTGAGCAGGAAGTAGAAGGGTTAAAGGGTGCCACGTGAGGCCACAAAATCGTAGGAGCCAATGAAAGAAGGAGCTGGGATCTTGAGTTTGCCCTTCTCTTACTTTTCCTTTTCACTCGTGTCACATAACTAAACAAAGAGAAAAGAAAAAAGAAAAAAAAACAAAGCCACTTTCCTTCCACGCCTCAAATGCAGTTCGCGGTTCAAATTCTCCACCATGGCATCTTCTTATTCTCGCTGCTTCTCCAAGAAAAATCTATGCTTTACAGTACTAATTCCTGAATGAGTAAAGTTAGTAATACCATGGTTCTTGAATTGCAGTAATGGAAATTGCGCTCACTTGCTTCTTCTGTGGCAGAGTCCCACCAACGCTCAAATTGGGGCCTGCTGCAACTGCAACTCCAACTCACCACTTCCCTTGTAACAATGCCTCCACCCACCTGCTTTCTTCCTTCCCCCCTTCGTTTCGACTCTATCGCCTAATTCCGAACGCTACTAACAGCACCCAACCCAAGGTTTCCACCAACTCTAAAACCAGAAGAAGGAGAAGAAGAAGTTGCGAGACTCAGGTGGTGGTGGAGGAGGCTGCTGCTGTCCATCACAACGGAGACCCAATTGGGAAGAAGGATCTCGGGAAGAGTGTTATGAGATGGATTCGCGACAGCATGAGGGCCATGTCGTCTGATTTAGCTGCGGCGGAGATGCTGGGAGAGATGGAGTTGTGGGAGCGCATGGGACCGGGTCTCCCTTTTATTATGCAGGCACAGCCCTATCTCAATGCGGTTCCTATGCCCATTGGCCTTGAAGGTGTTTGCTTGAAGGCCTGCACGCACTACCCCACTCTGTTCGACCATTTTCAGAGGGAGCTTCGCGCTGTTCTCCAAGACCTGCAGAACGACAACTCCATTCAGGACT